TGGCAAGCATTCTCAACTCCAATGCTCGCTGTGGTCCCACCTCTGCTTGCACATACTTAAGCAGGGCTTGTGTTGAGCATCCGAGCCCCTCCTCGTCTTCACTTGGCTCAGCTCGCTGCTGCACCGCTGCTAGCTGCCGCTGTGCAAGGAAAAGCTGTGCCCTGAGCTCTTCACACTCTCCTTGCAGATCCTTCCTGTCTGTGCTCACCCCAAGCACGGAACTTGGCAGGGTCTCCAGATCTTCTTGAAACTTATGCTCGCGAAGACCCGGTGCTCGGAAAGGCTCGCGAGCATTCTTGGGCAGCATGGTCAGTGCTGAAGCTAGCTGCGGTCCTACAACTTCTCGCGTGGAGCTCCGGATGCTCTCAAATGGCTGCATGGGGCAGCACATGAAAAGGCGAAGCTTTCTTGTGCATGTATATCGAGAATGAATGGCGGTGCATCAGCACCTCGGGTGCTTGGAAGGCCAGCCTGCGAAACGTGGCAGGGATGGTTCTGATCTCTGAGACGAGACTGCCGCACCCTGTTTTCGCTGCGCCGTAGCGGTGCTTGGAACTCTGTGTAAAGGAACCTCAGGATGCGCGGTGAGCACTGGTTGCGAGCTGTGGCCTCTACAAAACTTCGAATCCTCAGACACACCGGGAGCCTCCTCTTGCTGTTGCACGCAGCTCACGTGCTGCCCGTTCCAAGAAATCCTGCCGGGAAGGGGAGACGCAGGCGCAGGCCTGAGACTTTCGAATTTCTGTGCCTGAGCACAGGAGACCTTGGTGACGCAGACCTCGGGACTCCACTCGGAGACTCCTCTGACACAGACGCCGAGAGCCCGCCTGCAGATGCGGGCTGTCCCGGCTCACGATGGCATAGACCACCTCGAAGAACACGCAAAGCTTGGGCCTGTCCACTGCGCTGCCCTCCGCTGCCTTCCGGGCTTCCAGCAGAGAGCGCTGGCCTCCAGCCGATTGAGGAGTTTACTTCGGCGACGTCTTGGCCGCGTGCTCAGCCCCACACCATGCGCGATGGCGCTTTGGTCCACCACACTGGCCCGCCGCCGCCGCTCCTCCTGCAAGCAGAGCATCTATCTGCTATCTGGCGCCTCCGTGCGAACTCTTCCAACAGTAGCAAAATCTCTGCCCACTTATGTGACAAGACCAGAAGCCACACCAGTCACCGATCATTCGTAGACTCTCTACTACACACCTCTCAGATACTGCTACACCCGTTACTCCCACCGCCTCCATTATCCTCAAAGTGGTGCTCTCATCCCAAATTGACCACAGGCTCTCTATAGAATTTACTTGGTCTAGGATTACCGGCTGAAAGTGGCCTATGGGCATGATCCACAGGCCGCCACGACACACAACAAAAATGCGTCACGCTCTTGGTCTTGTGTCAGGGCAAAAGCCATTCAGATTTAAAGTTGAGAGCACAGGTACCGTGCCGTTGGTCTCAAGCCTTGCCAGTAATCTCTTGCTGACTGCTTCTATGCTGCTTCTATGCTTTGCCGTCTGTATGTCCTGACTTCTTGCTTGTCTTCATCTTCGGCCGTGCTCAGTCTCGGCGTCGCTTCTGGAGGTAATCGTTCATCTCAGTCTTGACTCGAC